GGACTCACTGTGTAGACTGGGCTGGACTCACTGTGTAGACTGGATGGACTCGCTGTGTAGACTGGATGGAGTCACTGTAGACTGGCTGGACTCACTGTGTAGACTGGATGGACTCGCTGTGTAGACTGGATGGACTCGCTGTGTAGACTGGATGGACTCACTGTGTAGACTGGGCTGGACTCACTGTGTAGACTGGATGGACTCGCTGTGTAGACTGGATGGACTCACTGTGTAGACTGGATGGACTCACTGTGTAGACTGGGCTGGACTCACTGTACACTGGATGGACTCACTGTGTAGACTGGATGGACTCGCTGTGTAGACTGGATGGACTCGCTGTGTAGACTGGATGGACTCGCTGTGTAGACTGGCTGGACTCGCTGTGTAGACTGGATGGAGTCACTGTAGACTGGATGGACTCGCTGTGTAGACTGGATGGACTCGCTGTGTAGACTGGGCTGGACTCACTGTAGACTGGCTGGACTCACTGTGTAGACTGGGCTGGACTCACTGTACACTGGATGGACTCACTGTGTAGACTGGATGGACTCGCTGTGTAGACTGGATGGACTCGCTGTGTAGACTGGATGGACTGGCTGTGTAGACTGGATGGACTCACTGTGTAGACTGGATGGACTCACTGTGTAGACTGGATGGACTCGCTGTGTAGACTGGATGGACTCGCTGTGTAGACTGGATGGACTGGCTGTGTAGACTGGATGGACTCACTGTGTAGACTGGATGGACTCGCTGTGTAGACTGGATGGACTCGCTGTGTAGACTGGATGGACTCACTGTAGACTGGATGGACTCACTGTGTAGACTGGATGGACTCACTGTAGACTGGATGGACTCGCTGTGTAGACTGGATGGACTCACTGTAGACTGGATGGACTCGCTGTGTAGACTGGATGGTCTCACTGTAGACTGGATGGACTCGCTGTGTAGACTGGCTGGACTCACTGTGTAGACTGGATGGACTCGCTGTGTAGACTGGATGGAGTCGCTGTGTAGACTGGATGGACTCGCTGTGTAGACTGGATGGACTCGCTGTGTAGACTGGATGGACTGGCTGTGTAGACTGGGCTGTGCTGGGATTGAAGGTGTGCACCACCACTGCCTGGCTTTAGCCTCCTGTTAGCAGTGCACACCATCTTGCTGTCGCCTTGAGGAAAGGGCTGTGGAGGTGCTGGGGCGCAGGCCTCGGTGCTCCCCGACACCCTGACCCAGGCAGGTTCTTGATGTCCCTGCCTTGTGACCTGGCGGGTGCAGATCTGTCCCACGCCTGCAGGGCAGGTGTGTGGGCTGAGTCAGTCCAGAGTGGGTTGGTTCCAAAGCCTCGTGTGTCTGCAGACACTGGCAGGCAAACGCAGCTCATCCCTGCGGATGCCACTGCTGCCCGCTCTGCTCCAGGAGGGCACACTCCCCCTCCTGCCCCTCAGCCTCCATGCCATAACAGCTGCTCTCCAGCGAGGGTGATAACGCATGTCCCCTTCGGAGCTTACGCGAACGCATGGGACCTTGAAGGACGTTGGCAAACAACGTCCCACGGGTAACAGGAACAGGGAGGAGGACCCTGTCGGAAGCCACCGGGAAGGATCTAGAGAATGCACCGTCGTCTTCACTTAAGCTCGTTGCCACTGAGTGGAGCTGTAGGGTTTCTCCTGAGCTCTCCCTGTCTGCTTTCCGGTCACCGCAGTCTGGCCTTCCCTTGCAGGCGCCATGAGCATGAGCCACCACAGGCCAGGCTGCAGAGCGCAGGGAGACAGATTCCCTCCAGGTCCCTCATCTGCCTGTTGAAGGGCAAGTGGGTGGCACCTGGATCCAACGCACCCTAAGGCTGTCAAGCTCAAGGGACCACAAAGTGCCTGCGGCACTGGGTTTAGCTCTCAAGTGACAGCCTGATGCGGCCCAGAAAGGGGACACAGGCTCCTCTGAGAACCCTCCTGTCCATACGTCTCCATGGATCCTCCTGCTTTGGGCCCTCTGTCAATGGGACAGAGAAAATTCTAGCCCAGCAGTTGGCTCACAAAGTGCTGCGGTCCTTGGACCAGCAACAGACAAAGGGAAAAGGAGGAGACAGGAGCAGGAAGGGGCCGTAGGGAGCGCAGGGGTCAGGGCAGGAGGTCGGAGACTCCGGCCCACGGGACGGGATGGGGCACCTTAGGAGCCCGGGGATTTGGTCTGATGGAATAAAGAAGGGGCCTTGGCCCGGTTGTGCTGAAAGTCAGACACCCGTCAGCCTTCTCCATGACCGACGGCCTCAGAGACACACAGGAACCCCGTAACCGGCCCTGAAGCAGAAACCCAGTGGAGAAAGACAGTGATGGGGAGCCAGAGGCCTTCCAGCTGCAGCAGAAGAAGCAACTTCCTTCCCACCCCACACCCGCACCCTGTCCTGACACCGCCTTCACCACAGGACAAAGGCCCCTCAGAGACACCAGGGCACCTCGCATGGCTTTCAGGGTGCCAGGGTCAGGCCCAGCTCACCCTCCCGCCTCACCAGGCCCTGCCCTCAGGCTAACTTCCGGTCCTACTGCCAGCGGCCTCTGGCCCATCACCTGCTTTTCCTCTCTAACTTGGTGAACACAGGTTGAAGTTGGGAGCTAGTGTCTCTGCTGCAACCTCTGTCTCAGCTCTCTGGTCCTCCATCGTCCCGCCTGTGATCCCGGGTGACGCTGCTCTGGGTCACACGTACAGGAGAACCCGGTAAACGTGGCTCCCGTGGCACCAGGCCGCAGCACATGCCACCGCTTCCTGGACTTGACATCTGCAGCTGGGCCACGAGGTCCCTTCCAACACACGGGCTCTGCTGTTCCACCCTCCACTGGCAGCAGGAGACGGAGAATCCACCCAGCCCCCACCCCCACAGGAACAGGAAGCTACCAGAGGCCAGCACAGGCCTGTCTTGGCCTTCCTTATCCCTCCCATGCACAGAGCAATGGTGGGCCATGCATTCCTGCGCCCCTCCCCCAGCAGCCCCACGCGAACCAATTTCCCTCTATCGGGTATTCGTTCGCTTCATGTCTTTTCACATCTGTCACAACGCTCTGACCTCAGGGCCACCATCATCTACGCCATCCATACTTCCACGAGGCTGTCAGACAGTGGCCCAGCCCGCTTGCAGGCACAGGTGTGCCAATCACAATGACCTCCTTCCGAACTGACTGGATGCATTTGCTCCTTACTCCCAAGAGAACCCGTTTCCTGTGGACATGGCCCGTGGTGAAGATGAATGGGCCACGGGGCATGAGAGAGACGGCGTGGTGGCTGCTGACAGAAAACCAGCTGTTTTCTGGTTGGGGTCTCAGGTAGGGTCCTGGGGCTGCTCAAGGGCTGGAAAACGAAACCTTTCCAGGGTTAGGTGATGTGAACTATGATCCGCGGGCTCAGCCCCGGGTCCCGGGCCACTCCTGTCTGACCTGCCAGCGGCAGGGAGGACTCAGAAGGGAACCAGGGAACCCCACAACTGCACTTCCCACTGACTAGAGCCACCCCCTTCCTAGTTCAGGCTTCTTCCCCAACGAGCATAGTGGAGACACAGTGAGAGCCAGGAACCATAAACACACCCACACAGCTTGATTATTAGAAAGGAAACGCACACTGCTATTTTAAAACTGTAGACTTTTAAAGTCTGAAACAGAACAGCCCCAAACCTGGCTGTGATAGTGTGGCTTGCTGCAGACTTGCCCGGGGACAGAGGTTAAAGCACTCTCCATCGGGTCTTTCCCGGATGCCACAAGCAGGGTCCCCCCCTGAAGACACCAAAGCTGACAGAGTAAACCCGGTCATCCCACTGAGACGGAGGGTCAGCTGGGACCCTGTGCTCGCTCTATGAACGCGGCCTGTCACCCGAGGTGCAGGGTAAGTGAACACAAGTGAGAGAGCTCTAATTCAAGGGGACAATCTGAAGCCCCCAGGACCGGGAGAGGAGGGGACAGACCTCCTAGGATCTGGGAGGCCCAGGGCAGTGGGTCTGCTCACTTACCAAGATGCGTAACACAGAAATGGCTCTGCCACACCCCCAATGAGAGAATGGGTGACACGGTTTCAGAGAGTGACTCCTTGCCTTCTAACTCCCAAGCACACATTCTCATTTGGCCAATCACCAGCAGCGTGACCCTGAACAAACCACTCAACCTCTGCACCTCGCTGTCTGCATGCGGAAGCAGGGGAAGACATCAGCACGCACCTCACGCTTCTGGGAGGTCACAGAGCTCACACATGGGAACCACCGAGATTGGCACCCAGCCCACCGTAAGGACATCAGCTGCCACAGTTACTGCTGTGATGTCACGGGCCTGCTCCTGTGCATGCCCTGCTCGGGTACTGACATGAATGACCCATGAGGACAGACACACTGGACAAGGCTTCTAGGAGACGGACGGCAGTGGGATCATTATCTCCTAAGCCCAGGGTCTAAGCTGAGTCCCCTCTTCCCAGGGAGCAGAGGAGAGGCCCCGGTTAATTCTGTTGCCCCTCGGATTCTGAGTGCAGACTGAACCTGGAGAAGCAACCAAACGGACACAGCCTTTCCCTGACAGTCTGAGGCCAGGCACGCGGGGCCTCTGTCTCACTTGGCTGGGCAGATGGGACCACAGCAAAGGTCTGAAAAATAAGGAAACTCCTGGTACCCAGCTGAGATGGGACATGGAGTCCCCGTGGGGTCCCTGGCTCTCCTGTCCACCAAAGCTGCTGGGGGCTGGCTCCACGTGCTGGCCAAGACACCTCAGCGTACAGCGCACCCAGCATCCAGTCTCAGAAGCAGAGCTGGCATGACGCTCTGAGAGTGCTCCTCCTGAATGGCGTCTGGGACAGAGACGGTGGGGCCAGGAGTGTCTGCAGAGCCGACGTCAGGCACTCAGCCGACTTGCTAGTACACATTCCCTGTGCTAGCCCTTCCCTGAGGTAAGGGGTTACGTACTCATGCGAACTCCAGCGGGGCCGTTTCCAACAAGCAGCACCAGCGCTGACCACTCAAGTGACTGGCAGGCACTTACCAGAAAGCGGACATCATCAAAGCCGTTCAGGAGCAACTTGCTCTCGTACTGCTGCAAGCCGACCGACTCCAGCCACTCCCCGACGCTCTGCTCCAGCGTCCGAGAACCTGACGAGAGAGGAATCGGCAGACGCTTGAAAAGGGAAAACCCATTCAGGCGGTAGCAGCGGCACTCAGAGGAAGACAGATGACACTGCCACATCGTAGGCATTACCACAAAGCAGCCAGACTGTGCACGAGGGAGCAGGGAGAGCAGGCTCGCAGCCTCCGCCTCTCCTCCCCGCGCAGGCACCGCGCACAGGCCAACCTGGGTGGCTGCTGCCCATTCACGCCCCACGATGGGACCTGGCCGGGGCCGGGGCCGCACATGCACGGTCTTGCCCTAGGGTTGGGGGAGCCAACCCTCAACGGTCTCCAGGTCAACTCGTCAGCAGCGTCCACACAGAGGCACGGCAGAAAGTCTGTCCCCACAGGCGCTAGAGGGGGACACGAGAGCTCCTAAAGTGCCCACCAGCCTGGATGCTCCTCTCCACGCAACTCCTGGAGCTGCGGGGAGGGGGGCTGTGACAGGGGGGCTGGCTGTGCGACCTTGAGGCACAAACCAGTCAGGAGCCGGTGTAAGTCTTCATGCAGCTGAGGGGCACAGGCGGCGCCGGCTGTTCACAGGGACCCAGCACATGCAAGGCAAGCCAGGCGGCAACAGAGCGCGGCAGGGGACAGAAGGGACTTTTACTTGTTTTCCCCCAGCAGTCCCGGAACAGGCAAACCATGGCCCCAGCCCTCTGTGCTCCCAGCTCAGGACAGTCAGGGAGCAGAGCGGGACAGATGGGCTGCAGTGTGAGGGTCAGGTTCAGGTGTGGCTCTGCGGGGTCAATGGCATGGTCTTCTACCAGGCTGTGTGGCCAGCAGACCGGGTGCCTCCTGGGCTGAGGCGCTGCCTGAGGAGCTGCCTGCCTGGCCCGGGTTGTCTTCCAGGAGTGTGGTGTTCATTCTCCCTGTCTTCGGTGGCAGTTCCCATGACCTGCCTGCCTGTCTGCCTGCTTAGGGGAAAGCAGCCGGGCTGTTCGGTTCTTGGTCAAAGAAGACAAAACCCCAAGCAGATAAAAGAACGAGGCGGCACTTGTCCGTCAGGAGCCGGCAGCTTGCCTATTCACGTTGCGTGGCTCTCTGGCCGAGCGACACCCACAGCTTTCTTCCCGGGATCTCTGGTCCCACCATCTCTACAGATGCACAGGCAAGGGACATTTGTTCACCCTGCTCGACGGGCAGGACAGGACTGTGGAGTGCGGGGAGGACAGACGTTCCGCCCCCCCCCCTGGCAGCCCGCAGATGCTCTCAGCTGGGTGCCTTCACACCCACCCGACTTCTTTGGCTCTGGAGGCAAGAAGGGGCAAAAGGAGGATGAAGGGGAGGAAAAGAGAGGTTCGAGGCAGGAGAAAGAAGAACCAACTACAGAGACGTCACCTCCCAGGGACTCTTCTCGACTGGGTGAAAGTCGCTCTGCCGTTACTGGCCGTCTCTGCCCTTCAGGCAGGGCAATGCCAATTTGCTTCTCTTGGGGACCCTGCTGACCAACTGTGGCAGCCTCCCCCTCCTCTCCTGTCGTCCGCAGAACAGATGGTGGGTGGTGACCGGGTGGTCTCTGGATGCAGGCTGTAGCCGTGCTCCAAAACGCCAGGTCTGGGGGCGCCTGGGCTTGCCCTTGAATGGAGAGTCGGCTCCAGGAACCTACGCAGCAGGCTTCTGAATGCCCGTGAGCTCGCGTGGCCCCAGCTGCTGATTCATCCCTGCCTGTAATCCCAGGGCTGGGCAGCTGTGGTCCGGTCCAGGCTGCTGCCGGTGGAGGTGCGCTCTCGGAGCCGCAGCGGAATGCTTTGTCTCCAGCTCTGGGGCTCCACACCGCTGCTGCTGACTGCCGGCTCCACAGTCCTTGCTCGCTCTCGTCTGGCCCTCCCCTTCCTCCCCTCCCACCCTTCCCCCTTCCATGCTCGGGGAAATACATCAGGGATCGGACGGCGGAGCAGAAGCTCGGCTGCTGATGGGAGCCAGAGCGAGATGACAGGTTTCCCGAGACGGATGCCGGCGATGCAGGCGGGCACTAAGTGGGGGACGGCAGCTTCATCGCAAGCTCGGGGGGCACGGAACCTTTTACAGGGGCAAAGAGGACTTGGGCTGGCAGTTTCAAAGACAGCCTGGGGAAGGGACCAAGGGGCAGCACGGCCCACAGTCAAGTGACCCCTGCTGCCACCCGAGGAAGCATTGTCCCACTCAGCACAAAAAGCGGCAAAACAAAGCCACAGCACCTGATGCTCCTTAGGGGAGGTCTCGGGGGGCCAGAGGACACTCAGCAAGGGACAGCCAAGGGGAGGCCTGATCAACGCAAGTACAGCCAGGGAGGGGACAAACTCCACAGACACACAGGAATCACACTTCATTCTGGGAATGTGCTGGAGGCACCTGCGTCTCGATAGGTCACACACAGGCACTGTGTCCAGAGGGACCAGACTCCCCGGGGGCTACACTGGGCGGTGAGTGGGGAGTGCAAACCTCCAGACAGAGTGGTTAGTGCGACGGACTTCTGGCAGCTGGCGGGCATGAAGCAGTTGTGAGACCTGTCTCTCGGGGGTCGGGGTGTGTAGCACCAGTGTGGACAGTCCGGGGGCTCTTGGGTTTCCAACAGGACTGGATTCCACTATAGTCAGACCCTCTGAGCGGCTACGGCTTGGCCTGGGACCTGCTTCAGGAGGCCGCCCCTCCTCCCAGGCTGACTCTCATTGGCAGCTAAACGCACCGCCGCACTCTGACCCTGACTACCTAAAATCCAGCGACTCTGCTTTGGCCTGAGGAAGCCTCTCCAGGCTTCTTAGCCAGGTAGTGGTACAGACTCCACACCCTGGGGGTGTCTACACAGTATGGCACTCGTCTTCGCCTGTCCTGGGCGAGCAGCCAGCCAGAGGACAGAGAAGCCCTCTTGCTAGCCCCAAGAGTGGGAGAGAGGGCAAGAAGCAGACTCCTTAGGGGCAAGGCTCTTCCCAGGAGGTCTGAGCGAACCCTGAGACAGTGGTCTGCTGACTCTGGCCTCTTGGACGTGCTGTGGCTCAGGCTTCCTGTCCTTAGATGAGGTACAGGAAAACGGAGGTGGCCACAACTCAGCTCAATGCTCTTGGTCCTGGCTGTGATCATCCCCAAAACACAGCCTTGAAAGTGGCATGAAGGTTTGTCCGTCTGTCCGTCTGTCCTAAACACCTTGCAAACACGTGTGCACCCAGAGGTGCAGGCAACCACGGGGCAGAGCCCAAACACCTGGAGAAGGCCCAGGGCTTCTCAGCTGGAAAAGCCAGCTGTCAACTCTAGCAGTCATCCGAGACTGACAAGGACCAAGCGCAGCTCACCCCCTCTGCTGGAAGCCAGGCACCGAGGCCTGCAGGGAAGGAAGCAAGGCTGACTGCGGAGGGAGCCAAGCAGGTGCCCGGTTCCCGGAAGTTATCAGCATCATAGCAGTGGGCACGGCTGCTCTCGGCGCTGGCCTCCATTCATCCGGGCACGTGAGTCTCTTGTTAGTTAGCTCTGACACTGTGAGGTAAGTCACCAAGCGGTGCTGTAGGAGCCTGGCCCTCATGTGGGATGAAATGAATACTTAACCCTCAAGTCTGTATCTGGAGCTGGGATTTGAACTCAGGGCAGTGTGGCTCCAGGAGCCCAGACTCTGCCCAGCAAAGCCCACAGTTCCCTTCTCCAGTGCGCACAGCACACTCGCCTCCTGACAGCAGCAGAAGCCCGAGACTAGGAAGCGCCACGGGGACGGCTGCTGCGTCAGTGCTGAAGGAGGTACGGAACCCCAGCTTTGGAGAGGAAGTTCTGGCGTCTGAACCAGGCCTCTGGGGGCCATGAACGCCAGCTCTGAGGGGCACTTTAAGGACATCTCTCTTGAGGAGACCCAGGGTGATGGTCCACTGGATGCAAAAGGAGAGCAAGGCAGACCTTACCCTGACGGCTCTGAGGGACAGACTGACCTTACCCTGACGGCTCGGAGGGACAGACTGACCTTACCCTGACGGCTCTGAGGGACAGACTGACCTTACCCTGACGGCTCTGAGGGACAGACTGACCTTACCCTGACGGCTCTGAGGGACAGACTGATCTTACCCTGACGGCTCTGAGGGACAGACTGACCTTACCCTGACGGCTCTGAGGGACGGACTGACCTTACCCTGACGGCTCTGAGGGACGGACTGACCTTACCCTGACGGCTCGGAGGGACGGACTGACCTTACCCTGACGGCTCGGAGGGACGGACTGACCTTACCCTGACGGCTCGGAGGGACGGACTGACCTTACCCTGACGGCTCGGAGGGACGGACTGACCTTACCCTGACGGCTCTGAGGGACGGACTGACCTTACCCTGACGGCTCTGAGGGACGGACTGACCTTACCCTGACGGCTCTGAGGGACGGACTGACCTTACCCTGACGGCTCTGAGGGACGGACTGACCTTACCCTGATGGCTCGGAGGGACAGACTGACCTTACCCTGACGGCTCGGAGGGACGGACTGACCTGTTCTGTAGGGATCTGGGTGACACCAGCAGATGACTGAGAGATCTGGGAAGGAAAGAGACACCCCCATCCTCCAGGAGACTCTGACACGCCCCACACCACCAATGTGGTGAACAAGGCCTATGTGGGCCATGCTTTCGTGACCAGCTGGTGCCAGAGCCACCTTAGGAACTGGGGACGGGTGTGGAAGTAACTCCAGCTTGGGCTACTCAGATAAAGTCCAAAACAATGAGCAACCTGACAACTACTGGACATTACGACTCCCAATCTTTTTTTTTTTTTTTTTGGTTTTTCGAGACAGGGTTTCCCTGTGGCTTTGGAGGCTGTCCTGGAACTCGCTCGGTAGACCAGGCTGGTCTCGAACTCACAGTTCTGCCTCTGCCTCCCGAGTGCTGGGATTAAAGGCGTGCGCCACCAACGCCCGGCCACAACTCCCAATCTTGTTTCGCAGCCTCAAATTCAATGCACACCTCCTCTCCCCCCCTCTGAAATGCAGTCGTTTCTCCCAGTAAAGGCCCAGGACAGCACATGGTTGAGGCTGGCCCCTTTCTGCTACCGATGTTTGTCTTGGGTCAATGAACCTCAGGCTGTGAGAGCCAGAGAGAGGCCCCTTACAAGGTGGGGACTAGTACAGTACCTGAGATCTTCTGCTGCTCCTGGGAAAAGTCAATGCCTTCTCCAATCGAGCTCATGATTTTCTCAATCTGAAACAGAAGGAAGAGAACAGAAGGGGTGGGGTCAAGAGAGGGGTCAACTTGGGGCCGGCAATGCCAGCTGAAGGCCAGGACCACCTTGGCTGTCCTCCCAGGGTCTAACCCAGCCCAGGAAAAGTAGGGAACGCTATTCTGCGGGGCTCCATATAGCAATGGTGTGGGCTGAGGTAAAGACGTGACCCCTCTCCAGACTCGGAAGCCTCACTCGCTACCCCAGTAGTCTGTGCTCGTCAGGGCTTAGGTTCCCTGAGGGGACACGGTGCCAGCTTTGCTCTCTGCTAGGCTGGGAGCACCTAGAGTCGTGCTCGGCAGACTGTGAGCTCAATACAGACAGATAAGTGGTGGCCACTCAGTGCCATCCCTGAGGTGTAGAGGCAGGCAGACCATATGCACACAGGAAGCTACTGGAAGCTGGGGGGCAATGGGGGGGTGTAGCCCTGGATGGAAACCCTTTTGCATCCCGGAGGCCAGATGGAGTTTTGCACTTATTGGGGGAAAAGAGACATCAACACCGTCCTTGCTTGGGATCACAGCAGAGACAGCGAGCCTCAAAGCATCTAGATGTCAGCACGGTCCCTGGGATGGATGGACCACTTGTCTCAGCACCTGGCTTTGGTTACGGTGGAGCCCAGCTGCCCCAGCTGCCCCTCAGTCCAGTGTGTGCGGCCAGGGGAGGCCGAGACAGCCAGACGGGGACCGCCTGCTCCCTTCTCGCGCTGCAGTGACAATGAGCTCATTCGCGGTTTCTTCCAAAGCCATGAAAAGAGGGACCTTTTGTACCAAGGGCTTGGATGCTCTTTCCCCTAAGTGCAAGCAGGGAGCCCGGTCTGACAATCAGAAGAACAGCTCCCAGCCGGCCTCCAGCTGGCAGACAGGGCGTGCAGCTGACACCCAGGACAGCACAGACTGAGTGCCTGCCTCTCCCAAGGCCAGTGCAGCCCAAACCCTCAGCTACAGAGCTCTCAGGACACAACTGCAGTAGAACAGACCTTGCAGCAGACTGGGGTGGGGGTGTCCCTGCTTGAGAGGAAGCCTCAGGGTGGTCTCCATTGGTCCTGGAGTAGACAGTCACCCTCCACACACACCCCTCCCTTTGCCTCTGGCCATTTCAGCAGGTGTAGCACAGGCAAATGGCCCAGACAGTCAGGAAAAGACCAGCACCCTCTGAAGCCTGGGGTGTAAATGGATAGAGACCGGATTAACATGGCTCATGGAAGATGCTCAGTAAAAATTAGCTTGTGCCCACTGTCTTCTGTTACCCTCTGAGGGTTCCAGCCTACTAAGACCTAAATTTGAAGCTTAAAAAATATTTTTTATGTGTATGGGTGTTTTGCTTGCAATTATATCTAAGCACCACTTGTGTGCCCGATGCCTGCAGAGGCCAGCAGAGGGCACGGCATCCCTGGAACTGGAGTTACAGATGGTATGAGCCATCACACAGTGCTGGGAACCAAATCAAAGGTCCTCTGCCAGCAGCAAGTGCCCTTAAACCTTGACCCATCTCGCCAACCCACTAAAACATATATATTTGGTTTGTTTTATGTATGTTTTTTGAGACAGGGTTTCTCTGTATTGTTTTGGAGGCTGTCCTGGACTTGCTCTGTAGACCAGGCTGGCCTTGAACTCACAGAGATCCGCTTGCCTCTGCCTCCCCAGGGCTGGGATTAAAGGTGTGCGCCACCAACACCCAGCTTCAAAAAACAGTTTGACTCATGTTCTTTGCTTGTTATTTTTAAGTCAGGATCTTACTATGTAACTGTGGCTGCCTTGGAACTCACTATATAGAGCAAACTGGTCCTGAATTCAGAGCGCTCCCTCCCAAGTGCACCACCATGCTGGCCCGCGATGGATACTGCTTTACATACACGTTACTCAGAAACTACAAGAGGTTGTTCAGAGAAGGGTATGCCTCCTGCTTGCCTCCCATTACCCTGTTCTCCCCACCCTTTCAGACCACTCCTCAGACACTGGCAAATGCAAGGACAGTCCCACCCTTCCACCCCAACGGACATGCCACGTATCTTGCTTCCCGTTGCCTGAACTCTGGAGCTTTTTCACAGCTCACAGAGAGCTCGCAGTGGACGGCCCCACTGTCAGCACAGCTCTCAAATCACGAGCTGGACAGCTGCCTGGCACACTGATGGGCGCTTTCTCGTTGCCAGGGCTGCAACAGTCCTGTTCTACATGCGTCTTTGAGCACGTTTACAAGCACACAACTGGGGGGCCACTTCTGTGTGTCTGCTGAAGGTCTACCAGGTGCTACACAGCAGTGTGGTCTGGGGAGGCGGCTCAGTGGGTGAAGCGCTTGTCACGAAAATGTGTGGTCCTGAGGAAGGGGCCCACAAACTCGCGGGAGGATGGATGGATGGATGGGTGGATGGATGATGGATGGATGGATGGATGGGTGGATGGGTGGATGGATGGAGGATGGATGGGTGGAGGATGGATGGATGGATGGATGGGTGGATGGGTGGATGGATGGGTAGATGGATGGGTGGAGGATGGGTGGATGGATGAATGGATGGGTGGATGGGTGGAGGATGGATGGATGGATGGGTGGATGGATGGATGGGTAGATGGATGGGTGGAGGATGGGTGGATGGATGGATGGATGGGTGGATGGGTGGAGGATGGATGGATGGATGGGTGGATGGATGGATGGATGGGTGGATGGGTGGATGGATGGGTGGAGGATGGATGGATGGGTGGATGGGTGGATAGATGGGTGGAGGATGGGTGGATGGAGGATGGATGGATGGATAGATGGATGGGTGGATGGATGGGTGGATAGATGGGTGGAGGATGGGTGGATGGAGGATGGATGGATGGATAGATGGATGGGTGGATGGATGGGTGGATAGATGGGTGGAGGATGGGTGGATGGAGGATGGATGGATGGATAGATGGATGGGTGGATGGAGGATGGATGGATGGGTGGATGGGTGGAAGATGGGTGGATGGATGGGTGGATAGATGGGTGGATGAATGATGGATGGATGGGTGAGTGGGTGTGACAGCTGCACCTATAAACACAGCACCCATGGTGAGGCGGGAGGAAGGGACAAGAGAACCAGCAGAAGCTCATCAGCTAGTCAGCCTGGAGTGCACATCGCCCAGCAAGAGACCCTGTCTCGAGGAAGGTGGAGGGTGAAGTCCTCTGCCCTCCACTTGTGTGCCATGGTGAGGCCAAGAGAGGGCCTGCTGCCCTTCCACACAGGAACACCTGCGTGTAGATGTACACGGAGCCAGCAGCAGGTCACAGAAACCCTCCTCCCAGCGACAGCAGCTCTGCTGAAGGTATTCCAGGAACGGCACTCACCAACTCACAGTCAGCTCATCCCATCTGACATCTGTCTTTTCAGGGTTACAGCTTTTCTGTGACTTCAACGCAGGGGCTCCCACTCCTCCAGACCACACCCTCGCCCCTTGGAGAGGTTCACCCCGCCCAGCTTAGAAGACACCTCAGGGCCAGTTCTCTCAAAGCCTGGGTTGTCTCATCTAATTATGGAAGCCTCATGGCTGGGCAAAGAGCAGGTAATCAGTAAATCCTGCTCCCAGGATCCTGGATGCCGGCAGCTGTCCAGGGGAGGTGGGGACAGCCAGTCACTGGGACGGTACATGCTTTCCAAGTAGCCAGTGCAGAGGAAGGAAACCTCCCCGAGTGGAGGAGTGTTGTGTGTGTCAGGGAGCGTGTGAGGTGCAGGCAGTCCCTGGGGGCACACTGGAGGGTCAGTGCACTCACACTCCTAGGCCTGTGGGAACTTCCCTTTGGGGTGGAGGGCGAGTTAGAAGCAACGCTGTGTCCAGAGGCTGCATTTGGGACCAAGCCATTAGGACAACAGCCACCAGTGAGGTGTGTGCCTAGACGTTGGGACTTTGTGGGGAGGAGAGGAGCTGCCTTCCTCCTCCAGCTCAAGGTGTAAGTTTTTTTTTGTTTTTGTTTTTTTTGTTTTTTTTTTACGAGACAGGGTTTCTCTGTATTGTTTTGGAGGCTGTCGGTCCAGCCTGGCCTCAAAGTCACGGAGATCCGCCTGCCTCTGCCTCCCGAGTGCTGGGATTAAAGGTGTGCGCCACCGCCGCCCGGCTCAAGGTGTAAGTATTAAAGGCGATGTTTCTGCAGTGCCTAGTTGGCTACTGATATCCCCCAGCTCCTCCCTGCTGCCTGGGAGCTGCAAAGCACATGCAGTGTCCTCGGCCCTGTCCTACAGAACTAGAGACGCCCACCTCCCTCCTCCATCCCCACTTACGGACTTACAGAAACCTGGCTGGCTCTGCTGCCTCAACAGTTTCAACGGTGTGTCCCAGCGATGCCAGGAACCATCCAATGGGAAGGTCGGCCTCAGTCTCACCTTGTCTTCTACAGAGCTGGTGTCTTGGTGACAGCTACCATCCGGTGCTCTCACCAGGCTGTTCCCTGCAGCTTGAACCACGTTTATATAGAAGGAGAAAGCAGGGGAGGTGAGGTGGCCTTCGCTGTGGCCCCCGAGGCCATCTGGATCCTCCGGAGGTCCTCCCCTTATTTTACACCCTGCCCAACTCCTCACCAGCCCTGCAGAGCCTCGGCTATCCAGGGAGGAATCCTTAAACGTGCCAGAGGCCTAGCCTGCCCTGGGCCTGAGAGGTGCCCAGCCTGGCTTGGCAGTGTTTCTGGGGGAGCGAGGTTCAGCCTGCCTGAGGCTCACCCCACCTTGTCATGTGACCACTGATGCTGACAGGGACACTCTCAGACCAGGAGCCACACGAGAGCGCACGATCCTCTCTGGGCTTGCTTGGTTGCCTCTCGGAGCAGACGGGCACTCAGCCTTGAGTGCGCTTTGAGTCAACATCTGAAAAAGGGTCAGCGGCCAGAGGCTACGGCAGCTTGCTTCCCCTTCCAGCCTGAGCTGCAAAAGGCCTCAGGGAGGATAAAGATGGATTGACATAAATTATTTGTCTTGATTTTTCTAATCTTGTCAAAGGCTTTTAGAAGAGGCCAGGATGGCGTGGAGGAG